ATTATTTGACCTGGAAGCTACATAATAATTAAGTTACTCAACAACTTCTTGAACTGTGTATTTGTATCTTTGATTATATTTCTAAATTAATAGATAATTAAATTGCACATATAGTATTATGAAGGTTCAAATGGAAATATTTGAGAATGTATAAATGTTTCAAGAACAAACTTGTTGTAATTGTTTATTTTGTATGTTGTAGTAGCAGCAGGTCTAATAATCTAAGTGTATGTATTTACGTCAAATTATTGGTACTTGTTTGTAAACTAAATTATTGTGTGCTTGCACAATCGACCAAAAGTAATGAAATTTTGAATCTTAATCATATTTACTTCGTATACTTTATTAATGCAGTAATACCTCGTGGCTTCACAGTGCACATTGACTAGAGAATTATAAAGACTCCAACTGTTTTGGGCTTATCAATACACGCGTACCATCACGACAATCTATATAAATTAATAGAATACCACCCAAAGTGTAGCTTTCGCAATATATACAATTCACTTTACAGACTCAGAAGAACGCGTTACAATTTTCTACTTCGGCACGAGACCCCTCGTCTTTGGGTAAACAGGTGGCGGAATTTGTTGGATCTTCCCAACGCTCTTAGGTCGTATTTTTGCAGATTGTAATCGTGGTTTAGATCTAAGTTTCGCATTAGAAGCGTCTACGTCGATGTCGCCTTCGTCGCGAAGTGCTTCCTCAAGAACGGCTTGAATAGTGGGTGCAATGGCCGGCCCTTGATAATCCATTGTCGTTCTCGCGGGCATATCAAGATCTAAATTTAATATGCTCTCCCCTGCGTAGCGGCAACCTCTTCCCATAGCTAGGGCGATACGCGCGTATTCAGAAACCGGTCTTCGTGCACCTGGAATGGATGTAGGCCTCTTTATCGTATTTATACTGGACGGTTCTGGATCCTTCACTATCCAGCAGTCTTCCTCTTCATCGAGATGTATTCTTGATAGGATTTTATTCTTTTCTTCCTCAGGAATAAAGTTTTCTATTATAAGATACTTCAGCTTCAGCTCTTTCATCAGCTCGTGTTGTGTTTGTTCCAAATCCCTTCTATCTCTATTAAAATCGTTGGTAACATCTTCAAGTTCTTGTTTCAAAACTTGTAACTTTGTGAAACATTTCCTTAGCTTCCTAGACTTTACATCCACTTCCTGTTGCAGATTCGTGTACGTTTCCTTCACTCCTAACATTGTCAGCTCTTCATCTTCAAGTTTTTGTCGCATTTCAACTTCTCGTTTCTTTCTCTCAGCAATCTCAGCTGATTTCTGTTCTAATGCTCTTTGTTGTTCATTTGTATGATCGATTATGTTCTTACCTCCACACAACATCTTGCTCTCTAAGTCTTTAATTCTCATTATAAGAGTTTCAGTTTCTTGTTTCTCTGCTTTTAACTGTTCGGCGATAAGCTTCTTGTCAGTTCCAATCTTATTATCTTCACTTCGACTATCTTCTGCTTCAGATTCCGAGTCTGCAGTCTCATCTTCTTTCTTTTTTTTCGACTTTTTCTTTCGTCTCGGTACCATACCTTTCTGTGCTAATTTCTCCTTCAAACGTCCAATTTCTTCTTGATATTGTCTCAAGAGAGCGTCTTTTGGATCTTCGTTTATTCTTGGTTTGTTTTTGATGTTCTTTGCGCGATTCGCATATCGTAACGTTGTTAGAGTTTCATCGTAATTATAACTAGCAGGACCAATATTTGCAACCATGATAGTTTTAGAATTTCCACCTAGCGAATCCTGAAGTAATCGCGTTAGCTTTGAATCTCTGTACGGTACATGCGTAGTTTTTCCGTCCACTAAAGCAGAGATTACATTTCCTAGGGCCGATAAGCTTAGGTTAATTTTACTTGCTTCCTTTAGCCGTTCGCCGCATGCACCAGTTTTACTCTGCCTTTCACTGCCGGCTAGATCTACTAAATTTAAACGACCCACCCGGATCCCGCCGGTGTCATCGATAGATCCCATCTCAATGGTAATCAGAAATATTGCGTGCGATCGAGAACTGTGCTCATTCATATTTGTCGCACCTATAGTCCTGTTCTGGTTACCGATGTTCATCAGCTGTTGTATCTCCGCAGCGTTTTTACATACCGATGTTGAAAGATCTTTCACGAACACGCCAGTATCTGGTTTTTCCTTTAATTCGAATCGAAGGCTCTGGTCGGACTGCAATAGATCTCGTATCTCCTCTTGATAAATCTCTAAATAGCTCGCACGCACCAAGTACTGCATATTTTCAGATCTGCCTATGTGATTGAAGATGTGCTCGAATGAACGTGGAATTACACCCCGTCTATCGTAATCGCCCTTAAGACCTTCCATGGTATAAGTCTTCCCGGTACCAGTTTGTCCGTAAGCGAAAATCGTACCGTTAAAACCATCGAGTACGGAAGACACTAATGGTCTGACCGTTTCTTCATATAAATCTTGTTGGCTGGAATTCCAGTCGTAAACTGCGTCGAACGTGAAGACTTTTACATTATCACTGGATGGATCATCCCGCGGGTGACGAATCTCGACCACCCCTCTCGCTGGAAACACGTCAACTACACGTTTGTATCCACGAGCGACTTCTCTTTCGTCCATAGGTCGACATCTTACGACAACCTGGACACATTGGGTCATCACTTCCGACGATGAGGTTGACTTCATATTCTTCCTTTTCCAGGTTTTCAATTGATTGTCTGATTTCTCCATGTTGGCGATTGATTCAATTCACCTGAAAAACGAACGAAATTTTAACGCAACATTCGGACAGCAATAACAAATTTTAAAAGCCTCTACAAATATTTGTCATATGTCTTGTATGTCACTTTACTTCTGTAACTCGAAATCTGAAAAAGTCCAATCTGTACAGATTAAAAATTATTTCAATAAGTTAAAATTCTATTACTTGTCGACTGCGGTCGTCAATTGTTTATAGCCTATATGATAATGCATGCGTCTCTGTCATCAGAGAAATTTGAAGTAAAAAATTAAATTGACAACTTAAGGAATTATTTTCTTATGTCTCTATTTTCTAAGTGTCTTTTTTTTAAGGTCAGAAATAACATGTATATTACGTTTTAGAATTTTTGTTTCTTTAAACTCTCTTAATAGAAAATATTTTAACTCTTTCTTTAAGATTGAAGTTACTGATTATCAATTGTAATATGTAGGGACAAAATATCGAAATTAGTATAATATTTTTCCGTGATCATCAAATGAATAACTTGGACAATATGTATTGGTTAGAAAGAAGAAATTCTTTCAATAAACCAACATTTTTTTAACAATTCCCATCTTAACATGAAAGAAATGAAATTGAATAAAAAAAAAATGAAAGAGAATAATCCTAGAATTTAATTTAAGATATCTTATTTTATTGTGACAAACTTAACTGTCTCTTTACTTTTTACTTTATACGCTTTTAGTTACGAGCTCTTTCAATTTTCACGTAAAAAGAAACTAAAATTGAATAGAGAAACCTTAACCAAATACTACTTGCTACATATTTTAAGCATGATATATGTATTTCATTTTTTATGATTAACTTACCTTCTCAAGTTAACAGGCACACACAGTACAAAAGGAGTTATAAGAAAAGAACAACGATTTTTCATTGTATCTGCATATTACCCTCCTCCGCACGGTATTGATCCATTGTTAGCTTCCTAGAATTTGCACTGTCAACACCCACCCTTTCTATATCCACTTATTCGAATGATACTATTTTGAGGGTACCCACAAATCCTTGCGATAATCAGGACTCAATGCTTGATCAAGTCACCAGAACGGTATGCGATTGTGACAGAACGTTGCAAAGACCGCATCATGTTTTGACAGAATAAAGCCATTATGGTCAAGCCTGCGCAATAAATACCTCTCACTCGTTTCTACGGACATACTGAATCGATCTCTCGCTTAATCACGAAATATCTCTAGGTAAGATGGTCAGGCTGAAGTCCTTCTGCGACATTGTGTAGTAAGAAATTTACTTTATCGACGAGATGTCATTAATTCTTTTTCTTCGTGTTCGTTTTCAGAATTCTAAAATCTCTAAGAAAAAGCGTATATGTTGAGTAAAGTCTTATAAAATTAAAATTTTATATGTAAATTTAAAATTATTTATTCAACTTGTTTTTAATCTTACCATATATTATTAATGCATGTATACTTTTTATGTATATAGATAGTTTCTTTGAACTCATTTTGAAAATCAAAGACTGATAGTAGTCAAATTATATTATAAAAATAATTGTTTCCGTACAAATATTCATTTATAAGTTTGAACTGCAGTATTAAATATAATAGCATTTGAATGGTCGGCACTATCTATCATTGTTCATAACGTAATACAAAAACCTTCGCATGGTGTTACCGAGTTTGCGTAGCAATCACCATTGACAGGAAGTACTCCTGTATTTTTTAATCAAACGTATGTTAGAAATAAATATACGTCAAAATAAAGTTTTCTTATTATTTATTTACTTTTTAATACCTAGTTATATCTTTTTATACACGTATAGTATGTTTGGATTGGAATTATGTCAAACAGCTTGTATTTTAATTTAAAATGTATTTATGTGAATGAAGTTGTATACGTTACTATTTCGTTAAGAAATATTTTAATCATCAATAATCTCTCTCTCTCTTCATATAGCATATTTTAAAAATTATAAATTAACTTGTAACAAGACTGACTTGGATATTATAAATTTTATCTTTCTTATTTAGAAAACTAAACTTTTGTCGGAGGAAATGACGTTTAACCCGTGGCTACTTTCATACTATGCAAGTCACCTCGAAAGAGTGTTGTAACAGTATTATTTATTGGAAAGACTGTTCTGTTTAATTGATAACTGAAATCAATGTCGAAAAAGTGGAAGTATTTCATCTAAATTTACCATAATGTTAGTATAAGACAGTAAACCAATAAAAATAGACATTTAATATATAAATTAAAGAAATAAAAACTTCTTAAGAGTGTTCGATATTTTACTTAACATGAGTTGAAAATAGTTTTCATGCAAGATTAAATAATGATATTTATACACTGGTCCTATTAAATGAAGTAATGAAATTGTGTTGATTGCTTTATTATAAATTATAGATACATATGTTAATTTTTAGATTTTAAATTGTTATCATTGTGGCAAACTAATTATTTGTTGTTATTTTGTTTCAGACAAAATGAGATTGTGGTTAGTAGTAATTCATATCGTCTTGGTGGCAACGAATATATGGGTCACAGCACATTTCCATGAAGAACTTCCTGAAGATAATGAATTCGCAGAATTTGAAGACTTCGAAGAAGAAAAACCAACACAGTCAATTAACGATCGTGTAGTAGAACATGTTAAAGAATCAAATATTAATCAAGATTTTGATGAAGATGATGTATTAATAGTTGATAGTGATAACGAATTTGATCACTTCGATGAAGAAGAGTTTGAAGGAGTAGATGCTGCTGGTGGAAACACAGGCTCAAAAATCAATGAACCATCAACATTAACAATTACCAAAATACCATTACATTTACGAACACGATGGGATAGTTTCTATTTAGAAATATTAATGATTATCGGATTGCTGGTATATTTTATTAATTATCTAGCAGGTCGATCGAAAAATGCACGTATAGCAGAAATGTGGCTGGTGGAACACAAACAACTTTTACTCGATAATTTTTCTCTTGTCGGAGACACAGGACGATCCAATGAAGATGCATCTGAAAATGGTTTAGTAAAAGAAAGTCAATCACATTACAGTTTATATTGTTCAGGAAGAATTGGATGTGATTCTATGCTTATTGAATTAAAACTAATTAAAAGGCAAGATTTAGTTGCAGTGTTGGCACAACTTGTACGACCTCAAAATGATCAAGCACTTATACGTATAGAATTAGCAAAAGATGAAACAGATAATTTTGTATTAGCAATAGCTACAAAACGTACTGCAATGCATTTAGTACGTGATATGGCTGATATTAGTGTGTATTGTCCAGAAAAGCGACCAGGAGAAAAATTTGGTCTTCCATCAGGATTTTACGTAATGTCTGAAATTAATGAAGCAGTATCAGCTATTTTAGATACAAGAGTTTTACAAGCATTTACAAAGTATGCGCAATATATTGATTATGTACACATCAGTGACCAATTTAGTGGCCCCAAACAACAAGAGTAAGAGTACAAAATGCATAGTAACTTCGAACTTTTTAATTTCTTTTATTATATCTATAATACCATGTTTCTAATTTTAGAGATACAACTCAATTAACAATGCCTGAAGTAAAGAGAGTTTTACTGGTGGGATTAAATATAAGTATGAAAGGTCGTACTACCAATGTAGAAGGCCAAGAAAAATTGAAAATGCTGTTACAATTAACCTTCTATTTGTTAGACAAATTACGTCGTTTCAAACTATCTAAAGAGGTTTATAATATTTCTTTTTTAAGTGTACATCTATTTTAATATGTTATTCTGTATTGTATTATTATTTCTAGTCTAAAAGCAAAGCAGACAAAAATAGACTGAAAGTAGAGGAAGCATTTTTAAAAACAACTCATGCTGCTAGAGCGGAAGCCGCAGCGCAGCGGAGAGAAGAACGTCGTAGAGCTGAAAAAGAACGTATTCTTCAAGAAGAAGATCCAGACAAGCAAAGAAGGTGGGAAGAGAAAGAACAACGAAGACTTGCTAAAAAGAGAGCACCTAGAATGAAACAGCTTAAAGTTAAAGCATTATGACCAAATCCAGTTAATTATGAAGACATTGTTAAAGCCTTTATTTAAGAGTCATGAGATACTCGATTGAACTGCCCATTCATTCATTTAGTAAAACTATATTTCAACTATATCCACCTTTTTTCGGCGTCACTCAGGGTTCATTGATCATTTCTTAATCAAGTTTTCCAAAATAAAGATAATGTATAGGTAAGTATGATATACTTAATATTCACTGTGGTGAATTAAAATCAATTTACATTTTTCTTAATTTCTCATACATGATTTTACTTCGTTTTTCTTGTTAATAATATATCAATAATGTTAAATATTTATTTTGTAATATATTTTTTAACTTTTCCGATAAGTTATGTCGTGACTTGAATGT